ATATATATATATATATTTTTGTTACGTTCATCTCGTAGCTATGATTCGAATTAAATCTGATATGTTAGAAAAAATATTTAGAGTATCGAAGAATGTTAAACGAGATGTTATGAATTTTTTATTAGAAAGGATGTAAATTATTTTCATTGTAGATTAAATTATGTGGTGTGGAAAATTCAATGGAAGAATTTTTTTTAATAAGATTTAGAATAGAAGACAAAGAAGATTTTCGTGATATTTTATAAACAAATTGAATGGATGTTATGAATAACGAAACATGCATATTTTCAAGAATACAAATACAAGTCAATTATTTATCACATTTCAAAAAAAAAAAAATAAATTCTATCAAATAATTCCTCAGAATTTTAAAGAAATGGCAATATTTCAATATTGGACATTGAATTCTCAAAAATCATTTTTTCTTTATACCTGTATATAATACAATTTTGAAAAGATCGATTATTCGCTGTTTTTATCCAAAAATAGAAGAAGAAAAAAATTATATCGAACGCGCTTCCCGTATTTGAACGTTCGTTCCTCTTCCCCCCTATTGACAAACAAGAAGAATGATACAAATATTTAAAAGGGCGAATCAACGCGTTGAAAATAGGAATTTCAAATTTCTGCCCGATATATTTCCCGTGTCTAACCACAAAACCGGATCTCCACCCGGTTCTGTATATTTTACTTCCTTTTTTTTTTTTTTTTTTTTTTTTTTTTCGTGATTTTATTTCAGCTTTTCCCAGCGTTTGTTTACGCATGTTGGTCCAATCAAGGGATAACGGAACGAGAGAGGTATTGAAAAAAAGGCGCGTGGATACAGAAATGATTAAACAACGTGCAGAGAATGATATCGTATAGGATGTATGAAATTTGAGGTGGAAATATTTGTGCCAATCATGGATCATGATATTCTCAAAACGTTCGATAATATATATATATATCGATGGAACATCCGTCGTATTTTTGATCTCGAAATATATTTAATTTTTTGTATTTATCTCGATTGCCGGATATATTGACAGATGAATGGTGTTTCGAATTTTTAACAGAACACGTTGAACGTTACACAATTAATATTCGGTGATTATTATTTAACTTGTTTTTAAATTAAAGAGAGTTCTTGTTTGTAGATAAAATTCTGGTCGATTATTTACTTGATTTATTTCTTCTTTCGTAGAAGATTATTATTAGTTAACATAGAATAATTTACAAATTTCAATTTTCCACAATTTCCTCTATGTTTCAAACAATAAATTCAAAATTTTATTAATAATCAATTGATTCTAATCGAACAATTCTTATTTGTTATTTATAAATTCCTTCGTTGAAGAAAAAAGTACAGAAGAAATTACACAACGAGTGATTTTCCATTCTCTCAGGAATAAAAAGAATTTTCGTGGTCGTTTCGACACATAAAGGCGACAAACGGTAGAAATGAACGATAGCAAGGACCCAAGAATGTGAAACGATAATTTTACGGAAACGGCACGCGACCAGCAATAATATTTTGTCGTTCAAAGAACGACAGAGGCATTATGGATTATGGCCTGCCAAGTCGTCTGTCTGCCGTTTCCTATAAATAAATACTCCCTCGTAAATAATAAACGCTAAGGAAATTTCTTGGAAGCCGCGAGATCCGGTTTGCGACGGATTTCACATCGTCGACGTGCGAACGATATCCTTGGCAAGCATATCTATGTACTTTGATCTGGATGGAACAAAAAGTTGAGGATTCTCGTTGGCAAATTCATGATACATCTTTCAGGATAAGAGAATTTTTTTTATTCGTAATGCATTGGAAATGTCTTAGAATCTTTACGTTCGTGGTCCCTAATGGCTGTCATAAATTCTGTGTTTCTGAACGAATAATTGAAAAATAGGATATGATTGTCTTTAAGATCGAAATAAATTTATATCTAATCGTCGTTTAAAATTTTGTTTTTCGAAAGTAGTTTTTAGTAGTCTTGGTTATTAAAATATTTCCTATATCACGTTAAGATTTTTAATAAGAAAAATTAATTATTCAATTTAATTTTATTACAAAGAATTTAGGATTATATTGAATATCTTAGATGTGAGTTGAAAAGTGAGAAATTTTGTGTATAATGAAGAATATTTTAATGATACAATTTTTACAGGGCTATTAATATTGGTTTATAGGGTACAGATTTTTATTCTGTTACTGAATAAATCTATTAGTTAAAATTCAAAGAAAGTATAATGTGCAATGAATAATGCAATACTTGTTTTCTCAAATGTATAATAATAAAAAAAAAAGAAAAGAAAATAAAAGTTTGAACAGGAAAGATTTAATCCCATTGTACAAAATAGAAGAGTTAGAATCGTCGTGCAATAGTTTCCAAGTACATAGAATGTACATGTACATAGCAATTGAAATAGAATCCTTTCGAATAGTAGAACTCCATATATAGTTAGACAATTTCAAGTAGTTAGACATAGTTAAATTCGATTTCGATATTTCCTTCCTCTATTTCTTCGTAGAATGCAAATCGTTTCCTGCATACCAGAAAAGTATTATTGCTCAATTCAAATATTTTAACTCGAAAACTTTTATGCATTCGAAATTACATCATTCAACACATTTTTGGAACATCGTGCATAATATAATTTCTTGAATATTCAGATTTTCATATCTTTTTCGTGAAACATTCACAAAGAATATACAAGAATATCTGATCCCATTGAATATCATGTTAGATTTAAATCGATCCAGAAATAATCGATACAATGTAATTTCACTATCAGAAAAAACAAGATGGAGAACAGAAGAATGAAAAGAAGGATATTAAGATCGCTCAAATTTTATTTCTTCTTTTTTAACAACGAACAGTTTAATAAATCATCCAGTCATATGAATCACCCTGTATGCACGCTATATTCGCGTAAAAAGCAACGAGCCGTAACACGATATACAGCCGTGTGTTTCATCTTCTTTACCGGTACCTGGTGCTATTAAATTTTCATTTTAATCATACTTCTCTCCCCCGAAGCGATCAACTTCCGGCTGTTCCGTTGATGGGAATTTTTTTTTTTTTTTCACGCGTAGATCGTGTGACGTTCGCATTACATAGAGATTAAGCGCCGATCGCGTTTCATGCGAATGTAAAATGGAATTTGATCAAAAATATCGATGCTAGATAGAAATTGGGTTGCCAGTGGGAATAAGCGCGAAATCGAGTGATTTTCGAATTTTGAAGGAAATAAGTTAACGTTCCTTCTTCCTTGTTTTTGTTTATTTGAAAAGTAACACAAAGTGTAAAAGGGAATTTTTATAAATACACATTTATGCTCGTTATTTTTCATTTTTATCTTTTATACGTTTTAACGTTACGGTGTTAATGTTCAATTACAGTCAGCTTCAATATTCAAAGTTTAATATCGAAAAAATTGTAAGGAACAAAATAAATATATATTATAGAAGACAATAAAATTATAGAAAAGCACAAGAAGATAGGCAAGTAGTTTATTAAAACATCAATTGGTAAATGGAAAAAGAGATATAAAAACGAAAAAGAAGAACACAAAAATTTGAAAAATCTTAATCAATCTTGATTTCAAAAATAATATGATCAATTAAAATGAATCTTAGACATTATTAAAATCCAAAATTATTCCAAAAAAAAATACTATCGAATCTTGTATTGTTAGCCCGAGTGTCTTCTATCAGAAAAGCAAATTGTACGAGATAAGAACGAAATAAAGGGGTGAGAATAGGAATACAAAGGGGAAAATAGCAAGAGGATATAAGATAATACAAATAATACAAGTAAATTAACGTAAGACAATACGATGAAAAGAATTACAAAAAAAATCGTTCTTTCTTTGTTCTTGATTTCATATGATTAATAATTCCTTAAAGAAATAATTAGTTTCATTCACATCCTCAACAATTAAAAATATTAATTAATTTCAATATTTAAAGAAGAATATATTTTAATGAAATGAAAAGACATTATTCATCATGAAAAAGAAGAAAGTTTAATTTCGATTTAATCATAAAAAATTGATTTAATCATAAAAAAAAATGTATTTCTTGTAACACATTATCAACATAATGTTTATCATAAAAATTTTCACGCGAAAATCAAAATAATTCATTCATAATCTCGGCGCAATTAAGCGGAAGTGCTGCGACAGGCTGAAACCATGTGTTTGCAAACGTTGCACATTGCTCAATAAATCGATAGTGATCCAAGACCCACGTGATTACATCGAAATGTTAGAGAAGGTAGAATTGGAGAAGACATTCGCGTACACGCGTTTCCGCAAGAACACACAGATACTCGAAATACTCGACGTCGATCGAGCGAAACAAGAGGTGAACGGAGAGACACAGGTAGACTAGGGTAAGTGAAACACGAGTACTTACCACCAGTAGCGTCGCAGGTAATATTCAGAGATGCACCCTCGGTGTATGGGCCCAGGATGTAATAGGGAATATGAGACGTTCCATCTTCGTTCAATATGCTAAGCTGTTCCGGCGGTACTGTAACAATTTCGTAACGATGAGTTTGTCTTACTTTCTTTCCTTTTCTATTTTCTTTTTTTTTTTCCCTCCGTAACCTCGCTCAACCCCCTTTTTTTCCACGCGAAACAAACGACGAAGAAGAAATGAGAAGTGACTGTTTCGTGGCAACAGAGGAGAGAATCAATTTGCAAGACGATGAATTACTGACCTGTGTCGTCCGACAGACACCCCAGGACATCGGTGTAGTGGGTGGCAATTCTTATCTACCACCTCATAACCGCCCTGTGGCGCGCTCGAGAAATGTGGTCGCGTGGTATGTAAATTATTTTATAACGAGAAAGGCGGAGATTGCGAGCCCGTGGAGATAAGGCTTGTTTTCTTGCACAGAGAAATTTTTATCAGTTTCATTCGGTAAAGATGAAACATTTTTGCGACGTGTCGCCGTAATTGGGATGATAATCTTGCTAGGAATTTAAGAATTTTATTCCTTAATTCTGCAAATATTTGTGCGATCGAAAGATTTGTTTAGATTTTACAGCTTTTTCTCGTCGAGTTAATGATGATTAGATTGCGATAATGGATGATAAATATAAATATAATCTTGGTCGATGGATATATGAGAAATAATTTTTACATAATTTTATATTGTAAATAAATTTCTTAAAATTCTCTTAATTATTAATATTCGTTCTATATATTCGAAATGATATTACGTATATCCATTAATTCTTCTAATTTTGTCGAATGTAAAAAGATAAATGTATTTCGATATTGATCTGGAAAAAATTCAAGAGAGAGAGAAAAAAGATTCCTCGTCGTCGATTAACCAAGAAACAGAAGGAAAACGAATTCTTTTGAGCGACAACAAGATTTAAAGCGTGCATTGGAATCTACTTATCGATATCATTGACATCGATGCCTGCGATTTCGACTCGACGAACGCCGTGAAGATCGCCGATCTAATTTCGTATTTCTCCTGACGACTTTCAGATAAAAAACCCCTTTTAATCGTCGCTTGCTGAACGATAGATCCGGGTCAAGAAGACCGAATCCACTCTCTGTTTGTTCGAGCTAATCGCGAAAAGCGGTCTGCCAAGCCTGATCAATTCTCAGGATATCAAAGAGAAAGAGAGAGAGAGACAGGGATTGAATGTTTAATTGATTAAAGAGAGAAAGATGAAGAGGATAAAGACGATGAAGTAGGATGAAGAAAATATTAAGTTAGAATATGAAAAATTTGTTAAAAATTATCAGAAAGATGAAGTTAGAAAAGAGAAGTGAATAGATAAATTGTCTCAATTTGAAGGAATTGTGATTTGTATAGTATGAAGCTAAATAAAATAGAAAAAGGATTATCGTGAGAAGAAAGTTTAACGAAATGAAAAATAAATTAGTAAATGACGATGCTGAGAAAAGAAAGATAATTTATCTATCTTTGGAATCTTGGGAAAAATTATAAAAATTGAGGAAATTGTTGGTCGAAAGAAATTGGTGGAAATGAAATTTCCTTGATTTCAAGAGAAAGAAACAAGGAAGAATAGAATTATACTTTGTGAAATATGAAGGTATAATATAGAAAGGCATTATTATACGAAAAAAAATTAGCAAAGAAAATTGCATTTCCAAAAAATAAGTAAAATAAATAAAATAAAGGAAAAAAATTATGTTATTACGAAAAAAATAAATAAATTAAATTCACTTTCATCTTAAAGAAGGAGATGGAAAGGATGGAAACTCTATAAAATTAGAATTCATATATCATAAGGTAAAAAAAGAAATAACATTTTCATACGAAAGAAAATTAAGAAACAGAAAAAATCGATACAACGTAATGAAGATTAAAACAGAAAGAAGAAATATAATTTTAAAAATTTACTTTAGTTTATATATATTATTTTGTTTGTTCGATGAAAAGCGTGTAATTGTTAAAATGAAGAAAAAGAGAGAAAAGATGGAGGGGAAAAAGGAGAAAAAGTGGATAAAAGGAAAACTTAGAAATTTATCAAGAAGAGTGGTTGTACTAGTGACACGGATACGAATGACTCTACTTTGCTTTTTAGTTTTCTTTTTATGTTTCTGTAATAACATTCCTACTTTCTCTTGCGTACACGTATTAAAAAACTAAATAGCAAAGGAAAGAAACAAGAGGAGGATGTATCGATGTGAGACAAAATTCACGAACACACGTGAAAAATTTTTAATTCAAAAATAAGTAAGAATCATGAAAAATATATTTTGAGGGAAAAAAAGATATTAAAAATGTAATGGAAGATAATTGTAAATGTTAATATTATATAAGATAAAAATTACAAAATCTCTGTGTGTAATGAGATGGAAGTCAAAAACTGAAAAAGAATTGTCAGTGATAAAATGAAAAATGGAAGAAGAAGACAGATACGCAAACAAATGGTAGGAAAAAAGGAAGCGTAATAAACAAGTGAGCAAAGACAAAGCTCGAAGATATTGCATTACCGTGTCAAGAGGAAGTAATGGATGCAGGTGACTCAAAGCAGAGGAAATGGAAGGACGAGAAGATTAATGGAGAATGAAACGGACAGACACAAGGGACGGACGAAATACGTATCCGGTCGAGGATGCAAGGGGAAAGGGTTCAAAGGAGTTTGACTTAAGAAATAGTCGATAAAAGAAAGATCGTAAAACAGAAAAAGGTTATATAATGAGGGATTTCTTTCAAGAAAAAAAATTAAAATTCGAAGAATTAATGGAAAAGAAAAAATAAATAAGAAATCATCGAAATTGAATATTATCGAAACATAAAAAATTCTCTAAAAAAAGTAAAACATTGTATAAATTAAAAATCATTAATTATTTCTACAATTTCGATTACCTTGAAATTTCATATCTAAATCATTCCTCAAGAAAGAAGAAAAGATAGAATAATTATTATTACAATTAAATATTTGAATATCACAGTGTGTTAAAAATTAATAATATTAAAAATATTATTAAATTATTTTACCATATGTATATTAACACATCAAATTTATATTCAATTAATTCTATCATTATTTAACAGTATTATTAACAATAATCTTTTACACCCTATAAAATATTAATATTGTAAATTATTATAAATCAAAAGGAGATAAAGAAAAATCATGAATATAAAACATATGACAGAAAACTTACTGATAATCGTGAGATTCACTTTGCTGTTCCTGGTGGGGGATTGCTTGAAATCGACCCTGCATCTGTAAACGGCAGCATCGCTCTCACCGACTTTCTCGAGAATGAGTTTCGCGGGGTGTTCTGAATATCTGAAGAAGGCACGTTTTTCGAGGCTGTTATCCTGCCAGTGTTTCCCTTGTTCCAGGTTGTTTCGACCCCTCGTATCGAAACTGTACATAAACGAATGTATACAATGAGCGTAAAAATGGAAAAGGGGTGGGTTAAGAAGACAATGAATTTCAATAGTTGGTTGATCAGAAACGATACTCCTGAGTGAATTCTTGGAAAATAAATCATGTTCGAAATATGTCATAATGTTTTTTCTTGTATAATCTCTCGTTTCATATTTTTGATGTATACATAGAAGAAATATAAAATGAAGAAGAACTGTAAAATGAAGAAGAATTGTAAAATGAAGAAAAACTGTAAAATGAAGAAGAACTGTAAAATGAAAAATAATGTGATTTGCCACGAACTGATAAATACGAAGTTTCTTTTATGAAAATTTGTGTATCCTGTTTTATGGGAAATATGTTTTCGATCGCAATATAAGTGTACGTGGAAAGAAATTTTTCAAATTTTGAACATTGAATGTGAAAGAGATAGAACAATATAAATAGCGTAAAATGTCAATTTTGAGTGCTATTTATAAATGAAAAATTCAGAGATAAAGTTGTGAAATTTCTTTGTTCCATAGAAAATTTCATTTTTCAAATTTATATATTAAATTGGAAAAAAAAATTTAGATATAAAATGTATATCTATAATTGTTCAACAAAATTCCAACAAAAGAATAAGCGAATTTAAATGGAATAACTTATATTTGCTGTTAGATATATTAATTTTCGTGTTACAAATCATCAGAAAACCAAATCACTTTCATAAATTCAAATTTTGAAAGAAACGCATTATTACAATCATCGTTTTGGCAATTTCCATCCATGTTTCCTGTAATTCCTGTTTCCAAGAGGATGTTCATCATTTTAAAGGCAGCATTTGCAGTATTCGTACATGTTGGCAAACATTATATTAAAATACAGAATGACGTGCAATTGTTCCCATCGCGTGTAACATATTTCTACAATTCAATATTTCAAAATTCATTGAAACTTGAAATAATTTTCTCACGAATAAAACCTCTCGATCATTGGATGGAATTGCTGAAATAATATATTCAATTAACATATAAACACATTTTTGAAAATAACTTCATTTTAAATTTATTTTAAATTTTATATTACATTATTTTTACATATATTGGAATTATTACTATTAATTTATATATTTCAATTTATATATTCATAAAAATTTATACTATAGGAACATATAATAGCTACAAAAAATATTTACAAATATCTTTATTATTAATCAATAGATATAATATACAGACTTCGATACTTTTGTTTTCTGGTTAATTGCGGTTCGAAAAATTAAATATTATGCGAATAAAAATATAACATTGCATCATCCATTTCATTTACATTATTCATCGTATCATATAAACATTGCATCATTAAATCATCATGATATATTATTATTAAATACATTAAAATTAAATTGTATATAAAATTATTATTATATATACGATATGTACAGAATTCTCTATAGCCATCGACAAATATTATATAATATTATATAATACTCAACTTCTTTTTACATTGCATATCGTGAAAATGAATTTTTTTCGAAAATGATTCCCCCTTATCTACATATCATTAAATATATTTCATTCGAATCATTTTCACAATCAACGAAACATATTTATCAGCGAGCAATCATTGTCGAATCAACGAACTTTGTCACGATCAAAAATTCAAATATTCTATCGATTAAT